GTGTAAATTGGGTCTAACATGTGACTAACTGTTTTGATATTATCTTTGACATCATGGGGATTAATATATGAATTGCCTTCTGCTTTGGCGACTATGAAATAGTGTGGAAAGACTCGATGGAGCAGGAAATTGAATATTGAACTGAATTGTGAACTGTAAACTGTTGAATGAATTGAGAACACGTGTATTATGTCAGAAATTGCCTGCTTCGATGTTATTGTACTTTACAATCAGTATTATGGGGATGTCTGGACTATGTGTATTGTGTGGGTAATTACTTCGATGTTACCTTTGTTGTTTCGGGAATCAGTATCTGGATCCACTTTATATTCCTGAAAACTTTTAATTGACCTTGGATAATTGTGATGAGTCACTGGACTAAATACCGAATCAGATCGTGAATTGGGAAATTATTGAAGAACGAATTGAACTTTTGTGACACGGAATAGACCGAACTTCTGTGATAAAGTTAGCTGACATTGAAATAAATATGTTGGTGACCTACCTTGAAGAGGTCAGTTGGCGAATATGTCTAAATATTTTTCGGTGCCAACAGGTCGAAGTTGAATTTCAGATAGTGGCGGATCTCTCCATTTTGGAATGGGAATGGGAATATGTGGCTACGAATTTCGTTGTGGGGCTACCTTGAGCACCCAAGGTATAAGTCCCATTTGGGCTATTGTAGGTAAAATTATTGAAGTTGCCCATTTCTCCCTATAAAATTTTGTATGATGCTTGTAGACTAGCCACTGTTTACATCGATAAGATCGCACATTTACATGGAGTCCCAGTATCTATTGTTTAGGCAGAAATTCTAAATGTCTTTGAATTCCGAAAAGCCTTCAAGAGGCAATGGGGGCCTCAGCTTCTGTTCTGTTATGTTACCCGGATCCGGTGGTTCCTTTATGGAACTGGTTATTCGTAACCTCACGTGTATATGTTCTGTTCTATTCTGTTCCGTTCTGATCTGTTAATGCTAATGGATGTATCACGTAAACTCAATCATGACTTATGATTTCTGTATATGATCTGGACAAGTTATGAATTTGTTACGAAACTGAACTATGATTCGGCGCTGTTTTCCATCCGCAAATTGATGTATGCCCAGAAAGAACTTTTTAGATTTTTGGGAGGAATACTCCAAATATATGCAGTAGATTTTTCAGCGAATTCGAAAGATCTATCCATTGTTGGCAGACTTTGCTTACAACCACAGCCTACACTCTAGATTGGTATGACACCATACAAGCTTTGTACGGAAGAAAAGATAAGTCTCTGGCCGGTTGAGGACTGAGTTTTGTTCGACTTTGGGGCTAAGTAAGTGGCTATCAAAAAGAAATGGAACCGTTGAATAAGAAAGTATTCCGAATTATTTTCGACTACAGGTAAATTAAGTTTGGAGGACCAAACTTCCTAAAGGGGGGAAGACTGTAATACCCCTGTTCCGTAATATGTTAATTGGTCCTTAACATGATGTGATTATGTATTTTGATATGATTTGGTGTTCCACTATGTGAAAATATGTGATTTGAAGTTCCATCTGTTCACCGTAGGAATATCTGTTTGAATAATCAGCTTTGGAAATTTAATTGAGGGCCTTATCGGCCACAGAACCCGAAATCGATTACGCCATTGTGGTTGGCATAATTTTTAGAGCCTACGGTGAAATTTAATTGAAAATTGATTCTGGTCAATTTAAACTGATTGAAATGATAAATTAAGTACCCCATTATTTTATATTATTATATTTGTTAGTGGGGCTAGGTCTTTTTCTTCCGAGTATCATGAAGCCAACAATTGATGTGGACATATGGATACTTGGATGATGGAGTGAATCTTCAAGGCTGATATTCTGTAGAAAAAATTACAAAAATTCAAAGAGTCAAAAAAGAAAAGAAAAAAAAAAAGGTCTAAATCCTAAAAGTCCAAAATGGCGAAAGAATATGAAATATGGACTTTGTGACTGAAATACCTCCAAGATTTTTAAAGAGTCTAATTATGGAGTGCATTTTTTTTTTTCATCACCCATACATTCTATCTGAAAGATCTTCAAGATCTGCTGCAGAGAGTTGATTGTAAAAATAGTCCTCATTAACTGGTTCATTCTCCCATTGGTTACCTTGGTATTCTTCTTCCATTATTGGTGACTCATGAGAGACGCTATGCTAATAGTTGCGATACCAGCTTTCATCGACAAATGTTTCTTTTCTGAAGGGAAAACTTGGAATGGCTAAGTTACAATGTATCTTTTGATTTCTATCTTCGTAAACTAGATGACCATAATTTCCGTTATATGCTAATAGAGGATTATTAACAAATTTCCTCTATTTATTAAGCTGATCTCTGAGCAAAAATTTTCTACATGGCCTGGGTCTTTGATTGAGAAGTCCTGGGTATCTTGAAAATGTCGAAGTTCCCCTAAGGTACATTTTATGCTTGGCGGGAATGCACCTTATTCCTTTCCATTCTGGTAGCTTGCTATTAATTAATACTTCTACAAATGGGTGATACTTTTCCATTACACAGAGTACTGAATGAGTAAGTTTATTTCCAAAATTATTTGTCTGATCTGGATCTAAAAAAATTATTCTAGAAACAAAGCCGTAATCTAACAATTGGGCGGCCGTTAGTTGACGAGTTTTGCCTTCAATTTCTATCTCCAGTGGCTCAAAAATTGCTAAATTTATCTGGCAAAGGCAGATGCTGAAATCTAGATTACACTAACATTTTCCAAAATATTCTAGCCTATCCATACGTCTTTCTTCTTGTAAACAGGGTTGTTCTTCATCCTTGTAGAGATAAGTCCACTAATACACCATACTAGGGCACTGAACTCCTGCTATAGAGAGGTCCTGAAGAAACTTCTGTATAGTGACTAATTCACTATTTCTGCTATCTTCGGCTAAAGTGTATATATAGGGTTTAAGGTCTTCTATTTCTCGGCTATTCTCACAAAAAGATTGAATGATAGAATGCCTGAAGAAATACATTCTAACCCTCAATTATTCAAATTCCTCACTGGTAAGTTGTTTGATTTCTGGGTTAGGAAATGGAGTAGGTGCTTTTTCTGGAGTTAGCTTTTTAAGTTGGCTAGTTAGGGTTCAACCTGTTGTTCTACATTGTTTACTTCTCTTCTGTATTTGATATTATTCACTGGGCTATCGCTCACGCTCATTCATGTGTTTGTAGGTGAGCCCGGAGAAGTCCAAACCCAGTCCCAGTGAAGTCTGTGAGGAACAACAGAGGTTTTTGGAGAGTCAGCCCTTGTGTCTCACGTACGAGACCCGTCTTCGCCCTTTCGTTATGTATTTATATCTTGTCATGGTGGCGAAGTTTTTGATTATGTCTGTATATAGTTTCATGGGTTGACTTAGTTGGATGATCCTGTCTGTATAGAATTTTATGCTACTACATTTCTGACGTGAGTTATTAACATGAGTTTGTATGGAATGTTATGATGTGCATATAAGCACGGCTCTATGGACAAAGTTTTAAATTTTGCTTCCCTTTTGGCCCCTTTACTCTGATGTGTTAAGTCTGTTTTGGTTTGAGGCCGTAGGTAATCTTAGGATTGCTGGCCGGTTACATCCTTAACCCATGGGGGCGGGTTCGGGTCGTGACAAACCATTGGACTCATAGGCATATCCTCTAATTCCTCATTAGTACATAGATCGTCTTGAAGGGAAGGAGTTGTAAGAGTAGGCCTACAAATATTGGTTCTGTTTAAATTAAAATAGAATGGTAATAGTAGGAGTATGTATTTGAAGAATTAAACACAGTCTTTTACCAATTCCTTTGTGGAGCTAAAGATGTGCTTGGCATTGAGAACGAACATGTGGAAGGATGTGCAACCATTGTTCATTTTTGCGCCAACTATGTATCCTCAGTTGCCTTTGTTCCTAGTTCCAAGCAAGCACGACTACGACAACACGATATTAAAGAAGTTTGTCTCAGTTGAATACATTCTCTTGATTTCTCCTGTTCTCGCCGTGCACGTTGGGCCAATGTAGCTTTTGATATAACATTGTTATTGTGTGCCTAAAATGTGAACATTATATCATTGATACCTAAAATACAAATATTATCGTATACTATTCCTAGTTCCAAGCAAGCACGACTACGACAACACGATATTAAAAAAGTTTGTCTCGGTTGAATACATTCTCTTGATTTCTCCTGTTCTCGCCGTGCACGTTGGGCCAATGTAGCTTTTGATAAAACATTGTTATTGTGTGCCTAAAATGTGAATATTATATCATTGATACCTAAAATACAAATATTATCGTATACTATTTTATTTCTTTTTCTTCCTGCCTTGTGATAATTTTAAGAATATTTTTACATTTTCTTTATCCTACTTCCTTTTCCATTTTGCATCATTTTCCCTCCTCATGCCTTGTGATATAACAATTTGTTTTTTAATTATTGTTTTCTCTTTCTTCTTGCTTCATGATGATTTTAAGAAAATTAAAAATATTTTCTATGCCTATGTTCCTCTGTTCCTTTGCTTAGATGTTATAAAGTTTTTCTTGGAGTTGATAAAGGTTACAATTATTTTTTAGGAAATGTTAAAGAGAGCTAAAAATACATTGTTTGAGTGTATAGAAAACAAAGAGCACAAAAAAAAAAAAACTGACAACACAGTTTACATTTTTAAAAATATACATGATCAATGTTCACTTAAATAATATGATTGGCTTTGTTTTACTCGATAAATATTTTTTTAAAGATGTTGAATATATACCATTGGACATGCGTTTTCCTTTCCTTTGTCAAAAGAAGTTGCCTTTTCTTTTCCTTTAGACATTGCCTTGGCCTTTTCCTTTTCCTTTGCCAACCAAAAATAAACAAAATTTATTCAGAATACGAAAAAGAACATGTATTTATAGAATTTATTAAGATTACGAAAAAAGAATATGTTGAACTTGATATTTATACTTACCTTTGAATTGCGCATAATATTAAGATTGCACTCATCACGAATAACAACACCGATATTCCTAGTCTCGTGGAGGAATGGGCTTGCATGAGTAGGCCTACAAATATTTGTTGTGTACAAAATAAAATTTATAAAATAAAATCTTAACAATAAGAATATGTATTTGTAGAATTAAATACAATATTTTACCAATTCCTTTGTGAAGCTAAAGATGTGCTTGGCGAAGTAAGATGTGTAAACATTACTCCTTTCTGAGTCGATGGAGTATTAGTTGTGCTTGGTGGAATCAATTCTCTCGATCTCTCTCGTTCACGTCGCGAACGTTGTCCCAATTGTTATGAAGAGCTTGCCTTATCATTTCTTTCGCGTTCTCACCGTGCACGTTGAGCCAATGCAGCTTTCGATATAACATTATTGTTATGTGCCTAAAACATGAAGATTAAGTTTATAAGATGCCTAAAATATGAATATTATCATCTAATGTTTTATACTTTTCTCTTCATTTTTCATTTCTATTAATTTACTTTATCTTAATTCCCTTTCCTTCTGATATTTTATAAAAAAAATTGAAAACTTTTTCATTCTGTATCCCTCCTCCCCTTATTCTTTTTTTGTTCTATTCCTTTTTTCTTCTCTTGTAGATGTTCATGTCAATAGCAAAAAGCCAAAAAAGAATAATAATAATTCAAAACAAATATAATGTTTTTGTACAAATGCTATTTTAGCATGCTTCAAAAAAAACATTTCACAAATTTACATGAAACTGTTTACTATAAGAACAATATATGTCACTGTGCAAGTAGTATGTCAATTTTACATTTAAAAAATAAATATATAAATAATCAAGGTTCATGGTCCAAAATAAATATTTCAAAAAAAGAACTTTAAATGGAAATGTTGAAGAGCCATACTACTGAACATGCATTTTCCTTTCCCTTGCCCGAAACGGTGGTCTTTTCGTTTTTCTTCAACAATGCCTTGGCAATTTCCTTTTCTTTTGCCTACAAAAAATAAAGAAAATTTTTAAAGAATAAAGAAAATATATATATGTAGAAAGTTTTTTAAAAATATATAAATAAAAATATACGGTGTAGACGGTGTTTTGAATAAAAAATCTATATAATTAAATTGAGCCTACCCCTCGAACACGGATGACATTAAGGTCACGCTCATCACGGATAACAACATTAACATTTCTTTCTTGAAGAAATTGGACCTAAAAATACAAAAGAATTAGAGGTAAAAAAAAATAAAAAAAAATTATACATGTAAGAAAATGAGTAAAAGGAGTCAGTATTACAGTTCGACGTAGGTCTCCATCCATCTGTAAATTATAAGAAAAAAGCATTTTGTTATAAGGAATTAGATAAAAAATTATGAAAAGAAAAGAAAATTGACTTTTGCTTATAAGAAAAATGTTTTTTTTTTCAAATAAATAAAAAAGAAAACAACTTACGTGACCAAAAATAGTAATGTTGTCCATAATTAGTGGTTGAAGATCAATGGTGTCTCAACCTGAAAGTGCTTGGTTATGTAAATTTGATAAAGATAACTGTATGAAGGCAAAATGAGGTTTAATAATTGCCATAAAGAAAAATTAATCGCTACAAAATTAACAACCTCCTAACATATTTTAGTTAACAACCTAGTTTAAGAAGTTCGTTTGTGCATGAATATCACAGATGGAGAAATTGAACTACTACAGGATAGAAGGAAAATTATAATTTTTTTATGTCTTTAATATACATTAAAAAGGATAGAAGAAAAATTAAATACTCTCATAGAAATCTTCATAATTTTTCTCTATTGGCCAAAATGTAGAACTATTGCAATACATGATTTTGTGGTTGATTCTATATAGTAACTTTGCACTGACAAAGGTTAATTCTTATGGATTTTATTGCCCATTTTTCCTACTAACAACTAAGTAAATTATAAAAAAATATAAATTATACTAATGAATAAAATTTTAGCAAAACTTAATTACAGAAATTTAATTACTAAATTTGCATTTTAAAATGTGAAAACAAAATAAGTAAAAAAATTACAATAAAAATTTATAAAAGGGCTCACTACACTGTAACTGGAAAATTACAAATACCTTTTGTATTATCTGTATAATTACAAATGCCTTTTTCAAAAAAGTATACTACACAATAGCTTATTTACTCCAAGGAGTAATGCTCTTATAAAAATTATTAAAAAATTATTAACATAAATTTTTAAAATAAGTTTAAGTTTTCTCAATAGTCCTGATAAACATCTAAAAAGTCTTTTTTTTTTGTTTGAAAAATTCCATAAATAAAATTGAAAAAGCTAAATAAACTGGACTCTTTTTAAAGAGAGAGAAGCCTAAACATTTTAAAATAGCAGTTCAATAAAAAACCAAATTAAAAACAAATCACTAAAAGCAAAAAAAATAAGGGTCATCAAATAAAAAGGGTTAACTTTTTAATGTTCCCTTTTCCTTTCAATCAACAAATTCCCTTTAAATCCTAAATCCAAATACAACCTAAGAGAGATGGAAAAAAAAAAGAAAAAAAAGACCTATCATATTACAAAATTAAACTGTAGCAAAATCTTTGTAAAAATTAAAAAAAAAAAAATAGTTGTTTAGGCCCAAAAGTTAGACTTATTTTATAGGTCCAGTGATATGTTAAGAAGAGGACTGGTTAATAATTAAATATTATCTAATTATCAACCCATCATCTTCTTAACACATCGCTGGGTGTATAAAATGGGTATAAAAAATGAACTTGTATATCATTATTATAAAAAAAAAAAAAAAAAAAAAATAAGTATTCAAATAATTCATCATACATTCCAAAAAAAAAAAAAAAAAGAGTATTCTCTAGAAATTGAACAGCTATATACCAAGATACATAACTATACACACTATATTAGACTTCTTTCTAAACCAAACATTAAAAGCTTAATGTGTAATCTAATTATTGAAAATTCAAAGACCAAACATGAAAATTCCAGGGCATTAAAGAAATCTAAGAGAGTTCATTCATTAATCCAGAACATTCATTAACACACTGCAATTCGAAAAAGAAAGCGAGGAATTAATAAAGAATTGCAAGGGAGAGACTTCCTAACCTGAGTATCTGCTTGAGAAGCAAAATTAAAGGAATCTGAGACAGAAGGATAAAAAGAAAAACACAATTAGTAAGAGCACTCCTCAACACTAAAAATGTACACGAATATATTTTCATATTTGACGAATAAGAATATGACCAGTAATGATTAATGAAAACCTCAACCCATTTGATTAAGATGAAATAAAAATGATTGTTGACATGAGATATAACTGTAAGAAGGCAGAGTGAGGTTTAATAATTGCCATAAAAAATAATTAATTGACACAGAATTACCTACTTTAAAAAGTCTTTTTTTTATAAAAAAAAATCCAAAATTAATATTTACAAAGCTAAATTTAGAGAGAGAGAGAGAGAAGCGTAAACATTTTAAAATAGCAGTTCAATTAAGAAAACCAAATTAAAAACAGTTCACTAAAAGCAAAAAAAAAAAAATAGGTCATCAAATAAAAATGGTTAACTTTTTAATGTTTTCTTTTCCTTTCAATCAATAAATTCCCTTCAAATCCTAAATCCAAATACAACCTAAGAGAGATGAAAAAAAAAAAAAAAAAAGACCTATTATATTAAAAAATTAAACTGTAACAAAATCTTTGTAAAAAATAAATAAATAATAGTTATTCAGACCCAAAAGTTAGGCCTACTTTTTAGGTCCAGTGATATGTCGAGAATCAACCAATCATCTTCTTGACACATCACTGGGTCTATAAAGTGGGTATAAAAAATGAACTTGTATATCATTATTAAAAAAAAAAAGAAAAGAAAAAGACATAAGCAATCACATAATTCATCATACATTCCAACTATTAAAAAAAAAAAAAAACATAAGTATTCTCTAGAAATTTAACAATTATATACCATGATACATAACTATACACACTATATTAGACTTCTTTCTAAACCAAACATTATTTTCTTCATGCCTTCAGGCATGGGCATACCCTAGCACACACTATATTAGACTTCTTTCTAAACCAAACATTAAAAGCTTAATGTTTAATCTAATTATTGAAAATTCCAAGACGAGACATGAAAATTTCAAAGTATTAAAGAAATCTGAGAGAGTTCATTCATTAATCCAGAACATTCATTAACCCACTGCAATTTAAGAAAGAAAGTGAGGAACTAATAAAGAATTGCAAGGGAGAGACTTCCTAACCTAAGTATCTGCTTGAGAAGCAAAATTAAAGAAATCTGAGACAGAAGGATAAAAAGAAAAACACAATTAGTAAGAACACTCCTCAACACTAAAAATGTACACGAATCTATTTTCATGTTTGATGCATAAAAATATGACCATTGATGATTAATGAAAACCTCAACCCATTTGATTAAGATGAAATAAAAATAATTGTTGACATGAAATATAACTGTAAGAAGGCAGAATGAGGTTTAATAATTGCTATAAAGAAAAATTAATCGACATAGAATTAGCAACCTCATAACATATTGTTAGAAATTGGGCGCCCATGAGGCATAACCCTTTTGAACTTGAACCTTTTGAACCTTATCCATGTAAGTTTGAATTTGAATTCAAAACTTATTTGGATGACCATTCAGGATATCTATATCTATCATATCAATAGATATGGATAGATGTATAGATAGATATTGGTTATATATCAGATTATATGATTATCTAATATATCAATATCAGTTATGTGGTTTTTACCCATAACCTTTTTTTCCAGACTCTCTCTCTGACTCTCTCCCATAAAACAATGATTAAGCCATTTTGCACTGTGACTTGTGTGGGTGATACTCATTTTGTAGTATCACTCCACTGCTGGGTTCGTTGTTCAGATTCTAGAAGCACGTGATTTACCCACAAGATTCTTCACTTCAGGCTCTACTAAAAGGTATGATTTAGATATTTTATCCGCTGCGTTATAATACTTTATGTTTTACATTGGTATCAGAGCCAATATGGGTATTTTCGTGCTTATATTCATGATATATGCATGAATATTAATAGAGGAAGATGTTCACTTTCATTAGATTAAGAGCATAAAATACTTCATTTTTATGTTCATTAAATATCATTTTTAATGCCATAAATGTATTTATTTTGAAAAATGGAGTTCGGGAGTACTGAAATTAGACCAGAAAACACCCCGGAAGGCGGCGCGTGTGCCTCACGAGCCAGATGACACCGTCAGCGACGGGCACGCGCTACGACGCGCTGTCACGCGCTTCTATTCACCTCCACGCACTGTCCGCGTTTTCACGCGCGCGCCGTCCGCGTTGCGCACGCGCGCGCCGAGCGCTGAACCACAACCTGAGCCGCGTGCTGCACCATCTGCTGAGCCGCGCCGTTTTTCCTCCGCGGCTTGGCTAGCTTGGCTGCTGGTATTAAGGCGCTATTTGTTTTGTTTTAAATTCTGAATCGCGTTAAATGGTCATAATTAATTCGTTATAGCTTTGTTTTAAGCGCGGTTGGTACCGTTAGACTCAGAATTAAATTTTCTATCTTTTATAAAATTTTCAAAATTTTATGAAAATAAAAAATATTTTTCCTGAAATAATAATTCATTATTTCTGCTTTAAAATACATCTGGTGTTGCATGATTAAGTTTCTGGGGCTGAATTTTTTATTGTAGACTACTGTTATAGTTTACTATTTACTGGTATGTTTTTTTCATTTTACCAGATTCTGAAATATTTATTTCTAATTTTATGTGTGTTTATTAGATATTTAAAATTCCAGAAGATACCAAAAAATTTTCAGAAATTTTTAGAAGTGATATACTTTCAGTTATGGCATAATTTGAATATTAAATACAGCATATTGTTATTTTTTTACCTAGAGTTTCTAATATGTTGTAATTAGAATAGCATATTAATTGTTATTTGTTTAAATTCCATTATTAATTGTGACATAACATGAGTTGGTTGTAAATCTATATTATGATGCTATTGTATGGAATTAAAAAAAATTATCATGCTTTTAGGCATGCCATAGTTAGTGGGAGGTTATTCGGTTAAGAGAAATCTTTGTAGATTAACTTCTGAAAACCAATATTTTGCGCATAAATTAAATTAAATTTTGGATAATTGTCACCTG